CGGCCCCATCTCGCCGCGCTCGCTGCTCGCTGCTGTAGCTGCTCCGAGTCGTATTTCCACATTCCTGAACCCAGCCGAGTCCTTACCTGTTGAGCTGCGATCTCCTTTAGACGGAATCTGTCTCGGCCTCGCTCGAAGTGGGGTGGGGGGGAGCAGTGTGACCGTGAGGGGGTTTGGTGCACCTCGCCCGGGGCGCCCTCGGCTCCGGGCTCCGATGCACCCTGCGCGCCTGCTATGAACTGCCAGCGGCGGGAAGGCAGGCGGGTCCTGGCCTGGGAGCAACGCCGGCGAACAACCCCGAGGGCTGGCCGCCCCAGTGCCTCTGGAGACGGGCCTCCCAGGCTGAGAGGTAGAAACCAACCTGAGAATAATTTCATCCATCGCCACTCCACCCATCGCCTCCTCCGCCATTTTACAGATGGAGAAACTGAGGCCCAGGGCAGTCAGGGACTGAGGCCAGTGGCCTCAGAGACAGGGCTGGAAGCTCCCTGTCCTAGCCTCAACTCTGCAGGGCTGGGTGGGCGTGTCTGTGGCTGCTGGTGGCTCTGTTTATTGTGGGTCTGTGTGTAGGCTGTGTCCCTGGGTGTTTGTTTACGGGAGGTGAGGGTGCAGTGCGTTGAGTTGGCTGGCGGGGGTGTGGTTGGGGAAGGAGGCACTGTTTTCCAGACTCTCCAGTAGCCCCTGTGGGTACTCTGCCTGGGCTCCCTAAAGCAGTAGGCAACACCTAATGAGGTTTTCTCTCTGCTGACTGGGCCTTGCTGCCTTCTGGCAGCCCTGGAGGTAAGTGCTTTTACTCTCTCCATGTTAAGTATTAGGAAAGATGGAGCAAAGATGTGGACAAGTCAATTGTCCACAAGAGTAAGTGGCAGAGCTGGGACTTCCACCATGGACCCCTCTTCCTGTGGGAAGTGCTCTATGAATCAGCTCCTGCCTCCCCAGCCCCAAGAAGCAGAAGGAGCTGAAGGCTGGGGCCCGGCCCGGACTCCAAAGGCTGGGACTAGGGCTCGAGGTCCAGGTGACCACAGGCAGGTTCCCCCTCTCCGCCCCTTCCTGAGCCTCCCATTCTCCTCTGCAAATGTGACCGCAGCTCTGGCCACCCTTAACAGGAGGGTGGCCAGTGTCTGAGTAGAGAGGAGCTCAGTGGGTGAGACTCAGCCTGTGCCCCTGGGCACCTGTGCCAGCCTCTCTGGGAGAGTGTGAGACAGCCTGACAGTGGCCCTGGCTCTATCTCTGTCCCCACCAAGGAGCCCTGAGGGGGGACTCCTCTCCCTGGCCTGCCTCCTAAAACACATACTCTCCCACGCCCAGGAGGAGAGAAGACGTGATCTCCAAACCCCCCTGTGGAACCACATCCCAGAAAGTCAGAGAGCCGCCCTGGGATCTGCTAAGAGGAGGGGAGAGAAGGGAGGGGCTCAGCCCCTGCCAGGACCACATTTCTGATTCCCGTATGGCAGTGAAGGGGCTTGCTTTCTTTGCAAGTCATCTTGGCTGCACAAGATAGGGAGGAGGGGCAGAGGGGCCCAAACGTGACTCAAGAGGCTAAGTGACCTAGAAGCCCAGTGCATGAAGGACAAGTTTTGGGGGGGTCCAGCCTCCCCTGGCTCCTCACTGGGTGGCCTTGGGGGAGCTCTTTAACCTCCCAGCCCACCTTCCCTCATCTGAAAAATGGGGTAATTACACTTCCTTCACTGGGTACTGGGCAGGTTGTTAGTTCGGGGCCTTTGCTCTGGGGGTGGACGCTGTCCCAATAAAGTTAAATCTCTCTGTTGTTAATGATATCACAGCTACTGCAGGCACCTGGGGACTCCTCCAGACAGTGTACCACGAACCCCAGGAGCTGGGATTTGGGGGACATAAAAGTTCAAAGCAAATATCTGAGATGTATGTGTTGGGGGAATATTCTGTGATGACAGCCCCCCCAACCCCCAGTCCACACCCCACACCCCTCTGTTTTTGAACATAGGGAGGTGCTCCCCCCTCCTCACCTCTGCACATGCAGCCACCACACATGCACGTGCCCCTCAGCCCGGGCGCCAGTGCAGATGTGCAGCCCAGGGGTGAGCTCCTGGGTGGGCGGGAACGGAGAACTCAGCCCTTGAAATCCTTTTGCGGATGGGGGCTTCAAGAGTGGATGTGCCTCGGATTTGGAGCAATTTCAAAACAAATGGCTGTGAGGAGTCACAGTTCTCGCTTTGGAACCGAGCAGCCTCCAAGCCGCAGCCCTGGAGGAGGCCAAGCCAGGGCTGGGAGGAGCCATCTGGAGTCTGAGCACCCTCTGCCCACTGGAACTGGGGTCATAAAGCCCCAGGACCAGCCTTGTTCCATGCCTGCCTCCTGCTCTTGGGGCCAGGAGAGGCAGAAGGGCACACAGGGGCCTGAGAGGCCCCCTCCTCCTGGCCACTGGGGAGAGGTCTTCACGTCAGATCTAGAAGCCAGGAAATCTACTCTCTCTGGGACCACTGGCCATACTGCACAGACCTCTTTTCTTGTATCATCTACTCTATTTGTGCCTTAACTCCTAAGGGTCTGTCTACACTGCACCAAGAGGGACATTCATGTGCAGCCAGGCTCGGCAGACAGTAAGAGGTGGGACTCAAAATCTGTGTTTTGGGCCTAAAAAAGTCACTGGAAGGAGGCTTGTTGGGAGAAAGTGTGTTCTTGTGGATCCACTCCTCCCCACATCTATCCCAAACAGTCCCTCAAAGGAGAGCAAAAGAAGTGAAGGGGAAGCCAGAGTTGGGGGCCTCTGTGCCCTTGTTGGAGGTGCCTTCCCACTGTCAGCCTCTCCAAAGAGACTCAGAGGCAGGACCCGGCAGAGACACCAGTGGGCTTGTGCACAGGTGAACCATACCTCGCTGGGCCTGGTTGGTTATGGCAGTGAGTGCATGTGACACACAGCCAGTCTCACCCAGGGGCGCGCGCAGACAGAGGCGCAGAAAACACAGTGCATTTGTGCGCACACACTAGCCCCCTCACAGAAGCGCCCACGCTCCCACAGGCACACACAGGCACATACAGGCACGCGCATGCACACGGGAGCACACACGGGGAGCACAGTCCCCAGGAGCAGTGCACGCCCCCGCGCGGTTCCCCCGCAGTGCCTCCCCCAAGGTGCACCCTCCGGAGCAGGCCAGGTCGGTGTGGCTCGCTGAAGTTGGTTGGGGTGGGGGCTGTTGTCTCAGCCAAGGCAGTTTGGGCAAGCCCTGGAGGCGGCTCCCGCCGCACGCTTCGGTCAGCCTCCCTTTAAAAAACCGCCCGCGGAGGAGGCGGATGTAGGGGTGGCCCGTCCAATGGCAGCTGCGCGCCTCAGGAGACTTGAAGACGTGAGCCAGAGTGAAGGACAGAGCCGGTTCCGACCGATCGACGGACGAGGGGCCAGACGGCGGCCGAGGCGCACCAGCTGCCCACTGCCCACTCTCCCGCCCGGCACTCCAGCCCCAGCGCCCACCGCAGCCCCAGCCCCAGCCCCAGCGAGATGCACGGCCTTGGTTGTCGGGCACGGGTGACCACCAAGCCGGAGCCCGCGCGTCCGGGTCCCTAGCGCCTCGTGCCGCCGCCCTACCTTGGGGAGGGCCGCGGAGACCCCAGCGTCAGCTGGCCCAGGTGCTCTGCCCAAGGGGCCTGCCCAGCCCCGCTAGGAGCGTCGGCCCACCATGCTCCTGCTGTCACCGCGCAGCGCGCTCCTCTCCATCTATTGCCCGCAGATCTTTCTCATCCTGTCCAGCGGCAGCTACCTGTGAGTGCCGCGGACCACACGCGTGGGGGGCGGGCGGTGGGGGGCACCCTCCCCGGCCTCCAGCTCTGGAACTGGGCGAGCAGGGAAAGCGAGGCAGTGAGGTCCCTGGGCGGGGCGCTGGGTGCCCGGCGGGCACGGGAGAGGGGGTACTTTGGGTCTCCTCGCCGGCCTAAGCGGCCACTGTTGAGGAATTAGGGGGCTGGCCGAGGCAGTGAGTTCTGGCTTTGAGCTCAGAAAAAGGGTGTCCCGCTAGAAGCCTGACAGTCCCCATAGACCTGGCTGTGCGCACCGAGCGCGAGGGCCCGAGGGCGCGCGGGCAGCGCGGAGATTCCCTGCGCGTTCCAGCTGAGTCCTAGACCCACGGGATCCCCCTCCCTGTATGAATAAACGCAGCCCGCATTCGAGAGGGCTAAACGCGCACGCCGGCTCTCCCGCGTACACACTGGCACACACGTGCCCGCTGCCTTCCACCAGTCAGCGCCCCAGCTGCCTTCCGAGGTTGCTGCGGCTTTGCGCGCCTTCCCGCCGAGCTGAGCGGCCTGCCTCTCGCCCCGGCAGGCTCCTCACCTGGGGCGAGGCGGGCGCACAAGCGCGCGGGCGGCCGGCCGAGGTGCGCCCAGGTGTCCCGGCCAAGGCAGCGCGAGGAGCGCGGGCGCGCGTGTGCGTCGGCTCGGGCCGTGCCCGGGGGGCTCGGGGAAGCTCCGGGCAGGGCCCGACCGGGCCCAGAGAGCCGAGGGGCGCGTCGGCGCAGCGGTGGCTTCGCCCGATTCCTAATGGGACTCATATGCTCTGGCCTCCGATTTAAAAAGAAGTTTGATTTATGGAACCGCCGTTTGGGGGAATTTAAGCTGGATGCTACTGATTAAACCTCAGAACCAGTTCTCCCTCCCCTTCTCTCCCCTCCCCCTCCCCTTCCTTTACACGCGGGCCACGTCCGGGGTCGCCTAACGCGGCCAGAGGGGGCAGCCGCTGCCTTCCCGCTCCCTGTGCCATCCCCTCCCCCCTGCGCGGCCGCAGTCCTAATAAATCGTCGCGCCCCCACCCCCTTTTAATAGAGACGCAGCCAATTTCTCCTCCAGCTCCTAGGAAATTACTATCCTACCAGTTTTCCTTCTATAAATAGTCGCGCATCTTGAAACAAAAGTTCGCAACCGCAGCCAGATGCTGCGAGGCCCGCGGTTTCCCGGGCTGTGGGACATAATTACAAGGTCCAGGCGCAGAGAGCGCTCCAGGCCCGGCGGGCAGCCCCGGCTGCGGAGGCATCGCCTGGGGTAGGGGCGGGGGGCAGGCCGCCGGGGCAGGGCGCGGAGCCGGGCGGGACCGCCTGATCATCGGGGACGCAGGCTAGGAAAGAGTCAGGCCAGAGTCCTGCATCTGGCGTCCCTCCTGGAGGGAAACGGCTCAACCCAGGAGGTCTTGAGACCTCAGACTGATTCTCAGAGGTCGGAGGCTGAGATCGGGAAGCCTCCCCCTCCCCAGAATCCCCAGCTTCTCAACCTGAATATTTGCTAGAGAATCAGCAGCTCCTCTGCTTAAACCACTCTGGGAGCCAGCTGGCTGAGGTTTGGCATTCATGGTGGCGGGGGGGGGGGGTCCAAGGGTGGAAAACCAGGAGTTCTCCTGGGGTGGTTGGAGCAAGAATCACGGAGGAGGTGGGCACCGGGCTCAGGAGCCGGTAAGAGGGGATGCCAGGGCAGCAGCGAGGGGCTCTGGGGCAGGTGGCGGGCAATATACCTCCATAGGCCCCCAAGTTTTCCTTAGGGGTTGGCACCCCAAATTCAGGCCTGCAGGGACTACCATCTGTGCCCACATAAGCTCACTCCTCCAGTGTGCACTGCCAGCTTTGTTGGCAGAAATTCTCCAAAGGCAATTGCTTTCCCAAACGTTGCTGGGCCAGTGTGGGGGTCTGGAGTGGGTGGTGGAGGGGGAGCAGTAAGACAGACTCTGCCCCCTGCCTTGCCTTCAGCAACCCTTGCCCCGGTGCCAGTCCAGCCTGACCTTCAGCCCCAGGGGAGGAAAGTGCTGATTCCAGCTTTTCCTGAGCAGAAACGAACTCTGATGTTCTGAGAGTGAGCAAGGGGGGCCCCAGACTCCCTGGGGTTTCCCTGCTTGCTGGTGGGCACGGGGCTAACAAAGTGTGTAAGATGCCACGGGTGGAGCAGGGCCCCAGCGATGCCGGTGAAAGGGAGCGTGGTAAGAAGATCCTACTGAGGCCTGAGTGCAGGTGAGGTAGCCAGTGCAGTGTGCTTTGCTCACTGTTGGGGATCCCTGGTAAGCACCCCCTAGGAAGGCAATAATGCTCCAGAGGGTGGGCCCTGTGGAATCTGAGAATGCCGGGGCAGGAGGGGCCCTGGGCGGAGGCTTCTTTCTGCTCCAGAGAACTTTCCAGAAGGCATCCATTGCTGGGATCACAAACACGGGCGGACAATTGATCCTGCCCCTTTCATCTGGGCTGCTCTCCCAGCTCCCTGTCCTGGGCTGTGGTCCGTGCACAGAGAATCCCAGATGCATGCCTGGGCCCCTGCCACTGATCGGGTCAGACGGGTGTGCTGGCCTGGAAGAGCCCTGAGCTCCTGCCGGACTCTGAGCTTGGCCCGGCAGGCCGTTTGGGGCAGCTCTGGCCAGTGCTGCTCTGTTGTCAGAGCAGGAGATCTTAGGGCCGGTGGGGGTTAGCCAGGGCTGAAGGGAGGGCAGGTGGGGGACCGCAGGCCGGGAAGAGGGCCTGCGGTGTGAGGTCAGCTGGTATGGGGGCCTGGCGGAGGTCTTGTGCCAGGACAAGCCGGACCTACTGTCCTGGGCAGGTCCCTTCCGGTCCTGGCCCCCCTCTCCCAGATGTGGGGGTTGGCTGCAATGATCCCCCAGATCTTCCGGTACGAGTTTCTCATGGTGACCGCCCGCTCTGGGGAGCCGAGTGAGTCATGGTGACGGGGCAGTTACTCACCGACCACCTGGCTGTGGGGGGTGAGGGGCGCTCACCACTGCCCTGCCAAGGCTGGGCCTCTTCCCGGCTCTGCCGCTGTGGCTTTATTGGTGGTGCCAACCGCAGTCCCAGAAGCCCTGTGGGCATGACCTTGGGGGGGGGTGCTGAATCAGGCCCACTCCCATGGCATCACAGCCCATGTGGGTGCAGAAGGGGGCCACTGGCTCAGGCGTGGACAGGTCACCCTTGGGAGGAGCAGTTCCCAGCCTAGGAGACTGTGACTGCCCAAGTGTGGGAGGAATTCTGCTGTGTGGTCTCAGAAAGGTCCCTGGGCCTCTCTGGGCCTCTGTCTCCTCTTTGGTCACTTGGGGATGAAGATCCTTCCACCGCGGGCTCAGGTCAGGCCCACACACCACTGGGATTCAAAGGCACGTGTGGCTCTGTAGAGTGGTGTGCACACGGGCGGTCAGAGCTGGGGAACCTGGCAAAATCTCAACCCCTCAAGGGGACCCGCAGCTCAAGATGTACGGACAGAGCTGCGCTAATCACAGCGGCCTCCAAGGAATCGTTGCTCTGTGAGTGAGACTCATCAACCTATGGTTAGAGGGGGAAAGGCTGTATTTTGGAAATGATTCTCTCAACCCTCTGTGTGTGGGGCAGGCGGGCTGGGATGGGGATGGGAAGGTGGGGCCCCGCATCCTTCCTCCTGGGGTTGCAGTAGACTCTGCAGTGATATAGATATATACATTTTTTATCTTATATTTTATTGAAGTGTAGTTGCTTTACAATGTTAGTTTCAGGCGCATGGCAAAGCTGTTCGGTTATATGTATACATGTATATATATATATATATATATATATATATATATATATATATATACGCGCACATGTTTTCAGATTCTTTTCCATTGTAGCTTATTACAGGAAATTGAATCTCGTTCTCTGTCTGCAGCTATACACTGAGGCCCGCAGGAGGAGGGCCAGTTTCCCAACCAGGTTTCCCCTCCGTCCTTGTGAGGCCAAGCAAGGGGCCTGATGGTGACCCAGATCCTAGGTTCATGTCCCTGTCCTCCTTTTACTGCCTCGGTGCATCCTGTAACCTTGGCTATGTCCTCTGTAGGGTGGGGGCCATGGGAACATGCGCCTTCTGGGTGGCGGGGGTGTGAGAATTCAACAAGTAGGTGCTGAGGTGGGCCCAGCGGGTGCTTCACATACAGGAAGAGCTCAGAAGGTGGGGTCACTGTCAGCTATTAGGAACAGGGAGGCTGGCCACCAGGGACGGAGGGAGGTCCTGTGGCTGTGCTTGTTCAGGAGAGAATGATGAACTCTCTAGGGTATCTTGAAGGGCTTCCCAGAGGAGGTGAGACCTAAACAGGGTTTTGAAGGATGGGTAGGAGATGCCCAGACTCAACAGGGGCATGAGAGAGAGACTCACCGAAGAAGGAACGATACTCACCATCAAACACATTCACCCAGCGAAGTTCACAGCATCTTGCTGAGGCAGGCAGACAAGAATGCTGGGGTCCAGTGGAGAGGCCATCTCCTCAGGTCACCCAGAGCCCAGGGCAGCAGCTCTCCTGGCTCTGGGACCACCTCCACTGCCTGTGGTGGCCTGACAGGGAGAGGCACCCCGGGGCCCTGGGGCCTTGGGGCCGGTGCAGGCAGCTGCTGGAGGGGCTCTGGACAGGGGAGGTCGCCACGAAGGGAGGTGAGTTTTGAGGCCCTGACTGCACTTATTTCCTTTGGCTTGTCTGGTGGACACTGGATACAGGGCTAGAAGCTCACTCTGCCTGCCTCTCCCCCACCCCACGGTGCCCCCCAGAACTCTGTGCCAGCCTAGGGCATCGGGGGCCAGGGTTGCTCAGCCTGTGGGAAGCCCAGACCCCTGCTGGGGATCTGGACCAATGCTGTCATCCGACTGCCCTGGGTAGACCCTGAGGGTCGAGGCAGGGGAGGGGATGAGGTGGGATGGAGGTCTTGACTGGGGAGACGCAGACCCTCTGTCAGCTCAGGGCTGGGGGTACCCAGAACCCGGCCCCTCTGTGCAGCCTGCGGCCAATCCTCTAACCTCTTGGGGCTT